TTGAAGATGAGGTCTTTGGAACAGGCATTATGGTAACTGATCGCCAGGAATCGGGAATCAACTGTGGGGCTGCTCGAAACTTGAGAAACAATGGAGAAAGACCATCAGGGTTCGGATGTGACAATGGTTTGAAGGAACGTAGACGCTTAAAAAATTCATCATTAGAAAAAGGGAACAGATCAGAATTGGAAACCTCACATGGGAAAGAGGGTATCTGGTTATCGTGGGTTTGATAAAGAAACGCGGAGTTAGGGTTAGTTACATTTACATCACTATTCACGTTTGACCTTTCTTGTTCACAGAGAAGACGAGTTCCTTGACATAAAAGCCTTGTGTTTTTCGTTTGCAGGATTTTGGAAGCGAACGTCTTGTTTACACGTGTTATCTCAGCCATATTTAAGTTAGAATAGTATTTTACAGCAGATGGATGGTGAGATTTATATGATCGTTCCTTTTGCCTTAGTAGTGAGTTCAAAAGAGGAGACGCAATTTTGCCGTTGCAAACAAACAGGGTTTTCATGGGACAGCAAAAATGGAACATGGATTTCATCGTTTCGGTGAAAAGACTCACTTAGTTAAGAAGTGATGAACAAGAAGCAAACCAAGATTGAGCAACCGTTATATAGAATGACAGAGAAGAGAAATGCGGGTTGATGAAAAGTTACGGAGATGAAACCTCATTTGGGTTGATCGTATGAATGTTAGATATGCAGAGCAAGAGTATACCTTTGGTCTTAAGAGAACAAAATGATCACTGCTAGCGAATGGGACCATTAGTTTGAGCGAAAACAAAGTGGGATGATTTGCGATTGCTCTGTCAACTGTAGAGCTGCCTCTGGTAGGAGAATGAGACAAATCAGACAAGCCAAAAGAAGGCATAGGGAAAATGCTTGGATGGTTGAAGTCACCAACAGCCAAATGAAGATATTCATCTAATATTGGAACCAAAAACGGGATGTTATGATCAAAGAAAGAACATGTATTTGGTTGGGAGCACGAAGGAGGTATAAACACATTAGTGATAATTGTACTTTTATATCGGGAAAATCTGGGATGACAACGAACGGATAAACAGTCAATGGATTTTTCAGAATAGCTGAAAACCGGTTCAGACTCGCCATACCAAGAAGTGTTAATGTACGTTGCCACACCGCCTCCAGTTTTATCCTTGCAATGTTGTCTATCCTGCCGGTAACAGTCGAAACCATCTATCTGCACGACAGCATCCTCAATGTTTTGATTTAACCAGGTTTCTTGTGTACATACGACACGTGTTGGAATGTGTGTTCAGTGAGGAAGTTAAATCTGAGATCTTTGCGAAGAGAGGGCAAGCGTTGGTACTGACCAATGACGGCACGGTCATCTTGGCAGGAGGGGTGCTATTAAGCGCACACTGCCATCCAGCACGCTTGCGTTTCTTGATCCAAGCACGATTGCCAAATTCTCCAAGCATATTGTTTGTATGAGGCACAGAATTAACAGATTTCAATCCTGACGAGAGTAGGTATGGGTCCGGAACATGTTTGACATCGAGACAACTATAAAATCCAGTGAGACAACGAGCACATAAAACGTAGCGCAGGCAATCGAACTTCCAAGGCTAGGTTCATTGTTAAAATTGATGTTTGGTAGATTGATTAAGCAATTTTAAGTTCATGACGCGCCCAGAGATTGTAACTAATGTAAGTCTACGGAGAGTTGTACGGTACCGCTTGCACATTCAGGACTTGGATGAGGAAACGGTAATTTAGGCGGTTGATCGTGGATAAATGGAATGTACTCCGCTAAATACCCAGTTGAAGACGATCCGCAATGATGTCTGAAAACATGGTTTTTCACCTGGTAAGCGACCTCTCTGTAACAAGAGATTACAAAATACTGCAGGAATTAGCTGGACTTGCGCGAGTCCGGCTCGTAACTAAATAAGACACTGACATCTGATCATTAGTCCAGAACCAGCCCTTAGATGTGCAGAGTTTTGAGATTCATCGCCACAGAAGAGGTGGTACTGAGGATGCCCATTTGTATGATGGTCTCACGCTCTTTCCTTTTGTGTATAAATTACTCACCTAAACGCAACTGAAATCGGATACCTCAACCATCAGCTATTGAGAAGTTAGTTTAACATAAACAGAGCAAAAGGATCGGCGATCCTGGGCAACCTTGTGTTCGTAACCGTGGTAAACAAATTTAAAAACACAGAAAGTTCATTTACTCACGCATAACTGATATCGCGCAGCTGCAAAGCCATCGGCGGATTTCAGTTATATAACACACCCGACCGTCTCACTTTTATCAAAGTTCAAGAGAGAGTGAAGAACACAATTCTCAGATAAAAATCGATTATCTTGGTTGATAAAATTCGATAGCAAAAATAGCCAGAAACAGTGCAGCTGAGGCTACCACTCCATGCCGGAGCCCAATGCATCTTCAACAAACCGTTTGTACAGTACCATAAAGGCGATGACAAAAGCTTCCAGGTGGAAAATTGGTTTTTGTCCCAGCTGAAGCCGATGTTCATACTCCGCGGCCAATTGAACAACTTCCAGTTTCAAATTGCCGTCACACGAACCCAAAAGATTATCGACGAGACCCTAACGGTTGAGAGAGGGAACAGTGGTGAGAGTGAATGCGATGAACAGAGGAGAATAGGAAGGCACAAACCGGATCAACAATTGAATCAATGGAAATCACAGAAACAATACTGGGTCAAAAATGCACTCAATCGGTCAAAGGTCTGCATTCCAAGAACTATGGCGAAAGATGACAGCTATTGGGGTTATACTCGTCTCAATATCGTCAAATGAGAGGTAATATGATTTTACTCTATCGGATTTTCTAACAGCCCAACTATCCATATAGACATCTGTTGGTTCTATCAACCAATGTTCATCTCAGAGGACATCCACTGAAGTTGGCACCCCAAAAGAGCCGTCTCGACTGCAGACGCCATTCGTTTGCAGTCAGAGTGTGCAACACATGGAACTCCCTACCCCCTCACGTGGTCTGTGCCCCAACATTAGTATCTTTCAAGCGTCAGCTTAATGAAACTCTGGTAAACATTATGTTTCAACACTCAACTACATAACATATTCTCCTGTGCTCGTCAAAAACATTACATTACTATTTTACTTACATGGACTAAGTGTGATCTTGTGAATCGTGCTCCGAACCAAAGTGTAAACACCCTATGGCAGTTGATAAGGGGAGTCTTTGTAAGTTTTTCCCATAATAAAATTTGAAGTTGGTTGATTTTTACTAAATCAATACGTCCTCTTGAAACACTATCAAACCTATTCAAAAGTTTAATTCATTCCATGACGTATAGTTTATCCATGGAGGAGATAACTAGTCGCCAGCAATAAAGAGGACGTGTTTACGAGGAATCGCCAACTCGAAATAACCGTGTTGTGTGGAACAGGACAATATTAGCCTTGAAAGACCTACCCTGNCAATAAATTCGCCGAGTTTATCGCACTACAATGCACACACACACGCATAGAGTTTGAGAGAGAGAGAGAGAGAAACAGAGCTTTGTACACATGCATAAAGGCGAATGAAAGTGGGCGGTCAGAGGAGGTATCGAATGCCCAAACGATAGACGGCACTCAAGAGCTGTAAATTTGAAAACCTGTAATTATAGTAGTGCTATCCCCACAGCTAGCCACTCGATACAAACGGATGGAAAGGAATTGGAAGACGAAAGTGACAAAAAAGAGTGCTCGTACTTCTATCCTTGGTCGAGCTTCTTTGAGCTTGTGCCTGTCTTTGTTCCCACCAGGCAGCATGAGCAAGTTAGACGGGTCAGAGGGACACAGTGCACGCAGACGCCCGGCATACACACGCAAGTAAATGCACAGGCGTACGACAAATGGAATGTCGAAATGCTCTCCAAACGAACAATAGGAAAACGGGAGCAGGCTCCAGTGATACCGTACTCGGAAAAGGAGCACGCACTTGGGAGGTGAGTGGAACAATTGACAAGGAAACTAACTGGTAGGGCGGGGTCGACAAAACGCATTTCTCGGAGGGAATGAATGAACGCTGAAAGCGATGGGTTATCGCGATAACGGATGTGATGCGATCGAATGCACGTTTCTAAGTCAATTTACTTGCTTGCATGCACGCGGGTACCCGTGTATGCCGACATTATTTACTGCGTGGGGGCATTAGTGTAGAGGAATTGGGCGCCAATTTCCCAAACTCAGATAAATGAGAACCGAAATAAGGACAAACCGGAGCCGAAATCTCTGGTCACGAGAATGAGTCAAGGCTAAGGAATGCAATGACATAAAAGCGGTCAAGGGTTATAATGCAAGGGGTTAAGAGAGAAAGGGAGCTGGGGGCCGGAAAACCTCCGCCAGGGTTTACTGCGGTCGGCTAGA